TTCTATTTGCTCTCCCTTTTCCTGCCGTTTTTCTTTAATTGTTTTGTTGTAGGATATAAGTGCACGAGAGACTTGCTGAGGTGCTGGGATAAATGAAGAGGCCTGGGATGGAACAGATGCTCTCTTTAACACTGTCTCCAAAGATCATAGCTTCTTGGGTCTGATCACAGCTCCTTGTTTCAAAAGAAAATAATAAATCAGCAAGACAAGTGTTTGAACGGGGTTTGAGATCTGTACAGCATCACGATTTGCGTATGTGCTTCAGCAAGTCTTTTTTCCTCATGTGTAGAAAACTCTTGGCTTACATCTCCATGCACACTTCTTCTTTTTTGGCTGGAGCCAGGCACACTAAATAGTGATTAAACAAAAAATTAAAATTCCATTTTTGTGCATTTGGCATTTGAATGCTGATCAATTGCTTTGGCGGCGCGTTAAGTAACAGCGTGGTAGACAACAGAAGGGGCTTATTTACAGCAATCTGTCTAAATCCATTTTCAATGTATTGCTTAATATGCCTTTCTACTTTAGTTCATTTTCAGTTTTTAAAAAATGAAGGCTTGAAACAGGCAGGAGAACAGTTTAAGATATTGCTGCAGAAGTAATCACTCCTTAGTGGTAAACAACATCCAGTTCTTAAGGAAAATGTGCTTGAGCTGAAATAGAACTTATGGGCTTGTTGTAGGACTTAATGGATGGAATTCAATGGCTTGTGCACTTACATAGTCTGACTAGATGATCATAATGAAGCCTGCATGATTTGAAATGTGCTTTTTGCATGTTGCTTACAATTGACCATTTAAAAAAACAGTGATATTTTTGCAAAATGGGAAGCTAACGTAGAGCAAACCAGAAAATTGCTGACCTCTTTCATTGGGACAGAAGTCCAGATCCATAATGTCCATTTACCCTAACCATGCAGCATGGACAGCTGCGATGGTCAAACAGTGGTTGTTGCATTGCACTGTTAAAATGCAGATAAGGGGGAATGTGCTGGTGGGTTTGGACAAAAAAGTTGTGCCTCCTATCATGCAGTTAGAATTAATGTAAAATTAGGATGAGAGTCAAAATTGAGGTGAAATACAGCGTTATGTGTATGGTATAGCTCCCCATAAATGAGATGCTTGTTTAATAGTTAAAGCAAAAGTCAGTCCTAGGAAACTTGCTGTGTTTTGCAGATTGCTTGGATATCACAGTCTAGAGCGTCTGTTGAAGGAGTATCATCAAGTTATGTAATTTGCATAATTGAGTCAAATTCCATGCAGCATCCCTGAAGGAAACCACTAAAAAAAGCAACATTCTGGTCCCTGTATGCTGTGTCTGTATTTCTAGAGCTCAGACATCTTTTACAAAAAAATGAAGGGGAAAAAAAAAACCAACAAAAAACAAAGTGAAAGAAAGGGAAAAAAAGAGCTTCTAAAGCTGCATCAATGTCAGCAACCTGCCCATTGTCCCAAAGAGAGGGACTTTGAGGACATACATGCACATCTTCCCGCTGCCCAGGATGGCATCGTGCCCACAACCCTTCACACTGTTCTGCCAATAGTGATGACATGAGCATAAAATCTGCACTTGGGGAGGGGAGGCAGTGTTTTATCGTTCACACTGACTTTTTTTGTTAATCTGTTGAAATTAGGTTGGTCTTCAAAGTGTGGTTCTGAAGAAATACAATGCTAATCAGGCTTCTGCAGCTACACCTTCCCTTTGGGGCTGTGTGGATCGTGAGGGCTGGCAAGGTCGCTGAAGCAAAGACATTGATATTCATTTTCTAGCACTGAAAGTCACTTCAAAATTAATATTTAGATACTGTTGACAGAACTTGTCAGTGACTCAGCAGACTTTTCAGTTATGGTGTTTTAATAGCGACCTGAAAAACCAATGTAAGCATCATATGTTTGCTTGCAAAGGATACTGTTAGAAGTATTCTAACCTCTTAACATTTACCCAAGTTGAATTAAATTTAATGGGGGATTTCTGAGCTGGATTGGCTAACGTAGCTTCTCTGCCCAAGAGCAGAAAAAACTCCAGAATGCAGCACATCTGCCATTACCATCTGCAGCTATGTCTGCCCTTCAAGATTCTAAAAACTACTTGGAGATGTGTGTCGATCCGACAGAGGTTCCTGGTGTGTTTGTCTTGTGTGAATCTCTTTAGGTGTTAGCTGTGCAGGGCAGTAGCAGCATGAGCTCTGCAGGTAGAGGAACAGATAGTGACTCGCCCTGCACAGTCCTCATTTTACTTTGCCGATACCAGCATGTGGAGGGGTTACTTTTTGTGAGTCTCCAAGACTGAGAGCTGTTCAGAGCTCTCAGAGCCCGTTCCCTGGGAGCTAAGGATCGATAACTCTTATTCTGTGTGCTTCTGAAGTCCAACACTGCAGTCTAGAAAGGTCTGAATAACTGATGTGTGTACTTCATAGTTTCTTTCTTGCTTAATTTAAGGTTTACAAATCGCTGACATGCGTGGCCTTGACATGGTTAGCTTAACCCAGCTCAAAGATGTTTTCATGTGTAAATTTATCTCTGAGATACTACTCGACTTTCTCCTGTCTTCCTGCCTGATTTGTACTGTGTGTTATACAGTGGCAGTCTCTGTGATTTTTCTTTTCTTTTTTTTTCCCCTTTATTTTAACAGCCCTGGAGGACGGCGTGCTACTGCCTGCTTTCACTCAGTATTGCAGGGTTTAAATTGCTTGCATTAGGTTGTTGCTTGCTCTGAGGATGTTTACATGCACATTGCTGACCTCTCTGAAGAATGGCTTGAAGCTGTGCAGAAAATTTACTTCCCTGTTCACATTATCCTACACTGAGAGCACAAACACAAGGATCACTGCAGCCCAGAGCCTGGGGGTGCTCACACTGAGCAGGGATGGCTGGAACTGCTTTTTAATGGCTTTTAGGCTGCTGCTTTGCCAGATGAGCACTGTCTCCTTTGGTGGTACAGCCGTGTAATGGTGAGAGAGGCCCCTCCTGAAACAGCCGATAGCCCAGTGGTGTGGCTTCCATTAGAAACTGGTGTGAGCTCTTTGGGCTGTATTTCAAACTTGTGTTGTGAGGCTCAGGGTCGCACTCTGTGTTCCTCCTTTTGGATCTAGTCCCTGGACACTCTGGCAATGATCTCCTCTGCGGTGGTGGGTGCGTTTCTGGAGTAACTGCTGGGAAGGGATTTTCATGTGTTCAATCTCAGCGAACGGCAGAAGGGACAGTGGCATTGTAAGTGATTCTGCTGGTGTGCACATTCAGTCCAGAGTGCTATAAACAAGAGACAAAAAAAGACTTAAAATATTGAGGTTTCAGACTTGCCAGTTGTTCCTGTGCCCAGTATGATACTTGTGTGCAAGCCTAGCGCTCAGAAAGTTGGCAAAACTCTCCTGGCAAGGAGGTGCTCTGGTCTGTGAAAGCTTTCCAGGGCTTTTCCTGGCAGGGGAGTATCCTGTAGGGGAGACTGGCCAGAGAGCAGGCCTGGCAAAGGATGGTTCTTGTAAAACAGAGGCAAATGCTTCCCAGAACAGTAGTGCACTCTGTCGGTTATTTAGTGAGGATGATAAGAAGGGGTGACATGTTGTCCAAACAATTAGGAACCACTGTGGTGGCCAGATGAATAGGTGTGCTGGACTGTTGGGGTAGCACAGGGTGGCTGCTTCATGGTGCTGAAAATTTTACAGCAAAAATAACCAGGCTGCCACTACTTCTTTGTGACACAGCTGTCATCCAGACCTGCTCACATTAGCTGACAACGAGCTAGCAAAGGTCCAGGTAGAGTCTGTGCAAGTTATCCCTGAGGTCGTTAGGTCAGGTGGAGCCATGGGTAGATGCTGCTGGGTTTGCCTGTTCCTCACCCACACTGTGCCCTGGCTCATCACACCCTGAGGGAGCAACTCAAACCATCTCTGCTCACACCCACTACACAAAAGCAGCAGTAACCTCCTAAGGTGGAGCAAACATTAGGGTTCTGGGTGGGGTATGTATTGCAAGGTGTTCCGTGATGGCATTGCAGACAGCAGCCCCAGAGTGACCCAAGGGCTAGTGGCACCATCTGTGTTTCCAAACGTTGTTGACCACAGTTTGCCCTCCCAGTGCTCTCTTGCCCATTTGGTTCCTGGATCACACATTCATCTTGACACTTAAAAGTCCTTCTGCATTATCAGCAGGTAGGAATCACAGGAGAACAGTGATGTTTAATGGGACAGCTGGAAAACCACAAGGCAGGTTAAGCAATTTAGTTTTATATTTATGATTGGTGAGTTCAGGTGAGCCCTTCTGTAACCGAATTGTGTGGTTCTTCACACTGCTCTGCTGCTCTGGGGCTGTACTTGCCTTCTGCTGCCTCATGGGAATCAGTGAGGCTTTTGCAGTGCCTCTTATGAAACCTCTTTCCTTGAGTAAATGTGAGTCTTCAGCCTGTGCAGTCAGAGGTGAGCTGGAGGTGTTGGATTACTGGTGATGATCGTCATTTACCCAACTTGTTTCCAAAGCACCCGTTGCTGTTGAATTTTAGGAACAACATCATGAAATAGGAGCTCTAATTGTGTTCAGTTCAGGCTCATGCCTTGTGTAGAATTTGCTTTTAAGTTCAGCAGCAAGAGTCTTAATAAATGACCTTTTAAGTCTTATTTTGATTTTATTCAAGTGTGGTAGTGTGCTCATTAATAATGATCCTGCAATAGGTCTCCCATTACATCCTATTTAATTAACAGAAAAGCTGTAAGATGTATTGGATGTTTTCGAAAATGAAAATGGGAGTTTTTAATAGATTCCCTGATTAAGAAATACTGTTCTGCATACATGATGGTGCCCTGAAAAATATCACTTAACAGCTTTAGATAAAGTACTGTTCTGAGACAAGCAAAACTTGCTTCCTCCCCCTTTCAGGCTACAAGCCACTTGCTTGTGATGAACTTACCTTAAGGAAGATGTTTAATCTCTTTTTTACAGGAAAGGGGGGCTGTTGAGGAAAGGTTGCATGTGTTGTGCATTTAATGTATCCAATCTTTTATTTAAAAGGCATCGTACGTGAGGCAAAAGAAAGATGCTTACTTTGCTGATGGGCAAAGGAAAAAGGACTGGCATAACAACGAAGCTATAAGGAGGGACTCTGAGCGTGTAGGTATGTAAGATTGCTATAAAAATGTTTTAATACTGATTGTAATTTGATTTTGTTTGGTAGGCTGAGCGTAGAGCAACATGTTCAACTTCAGGGTCAAGATGATGTTCTTGACATGATGCAGCAGTTTAAGCCAGTTAATCTGTTAATCTTCAACTCTGTTAATCCCAATTAAATTCCTTTTCCCTCAACTCCACAATAACCATTTCGAGGTGAAAATGTATCAGTAAACATCATGGTGTTTTATGACAGGTGCAGTGTTGATTTTTTTCTTTTTTTTTTTTTTTTTACAAAAAACCAAATAGGCATGTTCTTCTCCCAAAAATGGGAGATCCAGAAAAGAAGAAGAGGGATAACACAAATGTTCTGGACTACAACATTCGTGCAAGTTTTATTTCACAAAATAAGGGCCCATTTTGAACATTACAGGTTTACACTGGTGTGTCTGCAAGAGCTGAGGTTGTAAATACACATATCTACTTATGCTGAAAATTCCAACAGTGCTGAGGTATTCAAACCATATGGATTCTTCCTGCTATGAAACAAAAGGTGTTCTATAGATCCTTCACAGCATTGCCATAACTCCTTTGTCGGTTTCTGGTCTCAGAAGGAACACTTAATTTCTGTGATTTGCACAGCTGAGTGGTTTGTAGATAAAATTGATAGATTGACATGTTGACCCGGTGCTAAATATGACACAGAGCACAACACTAAAGAAGGAATTTTTAGAGGACTGTAAGATGCTCTTTTTTTGCTATATGGATTAGTTTCTGGCCTGTTAAGCACTAATTAGTAGTAATGATGTGTGTTTACTTTCTGTCTATCCGTAGGAAATGGAGAACAGGGAAAACCTTACCCGATGACTGATGCAGAGCGAGTGGACCAGGCATACCGGGAAAACGGCTTTAATATCTTTGTGAGTGACAAAATTTCTCTGAATCGTTCCCTTCCGGACATCAGGCACCCAAAGTGAGTATAGAGTTTGGATTTCTACGGGTGAAACTTTGCAAGCCCTAAATTAACACATCTGCAGGAGTGTGTTCTTTTTCATTGCAGACTCTTATACCTTTGTTCATCGACTGCAGTCCTTTCACAGCTGGGTCCTGCTGTCTCCTTAATAAAGAACAGTGTATAGTAATTGCAACAGGAGACAGAAGAGACCAAATTGGGGGGGGGGGGTGTAGGAAAATCACCCTTTTGATTCCAAAAGACTTAAAATTACCAAAGACTTCCAGCCCTGTGCAGAAGAGATCTTAAACTTAACCCAGAGGTGGCTACTTCCTTCACCTCTTGGAACGCAACAGTTCAGTTCCTGAGCCCCCTGAGAGAGCCAACAGCTCTTAGCAACTAATGAGGTGGAACTTCTTTCTGTAGTGAAACTGATGTCAATGTCTGACTCAGTTGACAGGTGCCCTGAGTGCAGTCAGGTGATGGCTTTGTCACTAAACACTCTGTCCCATTCTTACGTTGGGCATTAGCTGGAAATGATCATGAAGTGCTCAGGAGCAGAACAAGATGGGAGCGGCTCCACTCAGCTGTGTATGAAGAGTTTTATCAGATTTGTGGATTATTTTCTTGGGCATCCTCCTCATAAAAACAGCCTCATCAGGATTTACAAGTAGAAGCTTGTTCCAATTGAATGCTGACTTTCGAGTTTGTCTGGTTTTGGACATTATCCCTTAGGATGGTGGTAAACTGGATTTTTTGCAAACTGGGAGGAGGTTTCTCATTAGCAAAAGTGCTTCAGTTAGGACTTAGCTGTTGTTTAGACAAAGCAGAGAGGTTTTTAAATGCTGTGTGGAGTTCTTAATCTGAAAGCGTTGTTAGGCATTTGAATATAAGCTCGTTTTGTGTAAAGCTGGTTTTATCACAGTTTAGTAAATCTGAATTCAACATCTACTTTATTCACATAATTTCCAAAAGTCAGGTTTTATAACTTGTTAACTGCACAATTGAGATATTACCTCTTCAGCAGCCACAGCAAACTAATCAAATAAACTGGCTTGACACCCTTTCTCAATATATACACATAAAACAAAGTAGTGAGTATAGCTCCATAAATATTTTAGGCATGCAGCTGAAATGTTTAGACATAAAGATAAATCAGGTAACTGAAAATGTCTGTGGATCAGCCCATACTCAAGTTCTAGTACAGTTTGACTTTACTAATCTAAATTCTGCCTTGGCCTCCATTTACAGGGTCTGCCTTGGGCTCTGAGAACTTAAATGTCAGACAATGCCAGTATTTTGCTGTCTGAGGGTTTAATATATTTCCTCACGTTCCCTATTGTTTCCTGAAATTGCCGACTCAGTGTTGCTAATTCTGCTATTTAAACTTTTTTAAAGTGTGAAGCTTGTAACTCCAGCCCCAGTTAAAATTACCAAGTGAAGTATCTACTTAAGCAGTGATTAATGATGCTGCTGCGGTAGTTTGCTTGTTGCTTTGACATATCAGTGTAGCAGGTTGTAATTGTGGAGGCCTCGAGGAGAGGATAAACAGCATGTGCCTAATGGATGCTGGGATTAGCTGGGCAGGGAGCAGGGTTATGTACAGGGGAGATATGCAGTAAAGGAATTCATGACTGGAAAGGTCTGCTGTGCATTCCCTGGGCCCAATAAAAAAGATATACTTGGAATGGTGTGGTTTGTGTTACTTGGGAGGTTGATGAGGGCAATTTATAACAAAGTTAGGCTGAGACCTAGTCATAAAGCCACAAGTCCTTAAAGAGTATTCCAGAAAGAAGGGAGCTGTGTTTTCAGAGCCTTTTACATACAGTGAGGCAATACAGACTTTGGAGATGTGCCTGCAGACAGCAGGGAGTGTAAGGAGAAGGTGAACTGGGGGAAAAATGCATCATCTGTCTTGTCTGAAGCTTTGGGGCCACAGCTGGGGATCTCCCCAACAGCTGGCCTGGGTGGGGAAGGACAAAGAAGCAGCTGATGTGCGAAATGGTTTGTGTGGACTTCGATATAGCAAATAGTGTGTCACCTCTGCTCTCTGTTAATTGTGAGAACTGAGGAGCTGGGGGATGACGTGTACTGGATCTGCCTGGTGCACACATACAATTGTTTGTTTCAGCAGTCATGTCTTCCCCTGATAACATTTTCTTTAAGTACTTCTGGGTTTTTTAATATTAAATACTAATTTTGCAGGTCTTGTAAAGCAATTGTAGATGTGGTAGCTGGAGGGAAGCAATTTCTCTCCATGCTTAATGGTTAAACTTAATAGCTAAAGTTTCCCTCTTGTTTAGGTTAGTCAGAAAATGAGAATTCCAGTTTAAGAAGAGTTAGAAAAGATTCAAGGGCTTTTGGTTCATATTGGAATAGAATTACAGCCAGTAGCCATCGGAAGAAGGTTAGGATGGCAATGCCAAGGGCTGGATGAAAGCAGTCCATGCAGCTTCGGTTTGCATCTTGCATCTGTGCGTTGCAGCCACAGCCTGCAAGCTCTTGGCAGCACCCCAGGACAATTCATTACACCCAGAATAAGCTACTGTCCTCTCACACAGGCACCAGAGTTAACTTCCTGTAGCCACAGATGTATTGAGCTTGTATAACATAGGTGCATCATTCTCCTTTCCCTGGGAAAGGTACCAGGAAAAAGCTGCCCCTGCCAGAGCCGCTTTCATTCCTGTCTGCCCTTCCGGAGAGCAGGGAGGGAATTACTGTGTGTGAGCCCTGAATTGTGCACACATCCTCACTGAGGGTCTGCAGATCAGCTCTGCTGGCTGTGCAGGAGGGCTGTGTTGTGTCAGGGCAGAGGGCAGAGTGTGACCTCCTCCCCTGCTCCTGGGCAGGGGGCAGCTGGTCCTGCTGCTGCTGTCATTACTACACTCCAGACACGTCCATTCACGTAACCACCTCTGTTTTGCACTGGACACATGAGGTTCTAGGAAAGGAATAGATTTTTGAGCCATAATGAAGAGCTACAGGTATTTTTTTAACTACAATTGCTCGCTGTGCAGCCTTTGATGTTACCTATTTTAACAAGGTTCAAACTCCACTTAGGGCCCCATGACCAGGAAATAAACACTGCCCTTCATGCTGCAGCTGGAATTTTCTTTATGAAACTGCCTTGAAAACAACCTCACAAGGCAAGACAGCATTAGCCTTATTTCAAGATTAAGATTAATGCTGTAGGAAAATACCCCAAATTCAAGGGCTTCATATCTCTGCAGACCTAACTCTCCATCTTTATCCGAGTCCTCTGGTGATTTGTGTTCAAAGCCCAGCTGCCTTCACTTCTGCCTGCAGAACTGATCCCCCTGACTTTGTGTGTTGCTAAGTGTCATTGACCATTAACAGTCTCCACTTCTCATGGAATTTCTGGTTCTGACTTTGGCCAGGTAGACTAGATCAGGTCAACATGGGGTTGATAAGTCCTGAAAGTCACTGGATTTTTTGCAGGTACTTTGCATCAATTTGAGGAGTAAAGAATGAACTAAGTTACTTGATGGTAATTAGTATGGAAGTCCTGGTGTTTTTCAGCAGCTCCTTTTGACTTGCTCTGTCTGTGTCCAGCTGCAAAAATAAGCTGTACCTGGAGAAGCTTCCGAACACGAGTGTGATAATTCCATTCCACAACGAAGGATGGTCCTCTCTGCTCCGGACAGTGCACAGTGTCCTCAACCGCTCCCCTCCTGAGCTGATAGCAGAGATAGTGCTGGTGGATGACTTCAGTGACAGAGGTATGGTGGTTTCTGTGTGACAGCACCGTGTTTCCCTGCCTGAGGGATCAATGAACTTGCAAATATGTGCATAATGACTTACGGTTTTTCACTCAGGTGAATCTTGCTCTAGTACATTTGAAAGCAAAAAAACTCATGTTCTGTATTCAGGGTGTGCTGGTTTAGCTGTTGCTGATGTGGGCTGTCCTGTGATGTGAAGGATGGTGTGAAGAAAACGGGGAAGCTGGTTTTAATATTCTGCTAAGGGCCTGTGTAGCCCTTAGCATTAACTCCAGGGTTAAACGTATAATGCTTGGAATAACAAAGTAAGTGAGCTGTTCCCTCCTCTTCTTAAACTTCACTCCTTATTTTGTACTGTGTTGCCTGAAGTAGTCACTTTGGATTGGGTTGAAGTGCTAAATGCAAAGGCCTGGAGTTGCTGGCACAACTCATCACCACAAAGGGAACAACCACTTGTCATTGCAGCAGCAGCAGCGTGTGCGTGTGTGGTTACTGAATGTACTTGTTCTGTAGCAGAAAGGCAAGAGATCTTTTCTCTCTGAACTGTTTAAATGCTACGTGATCCAAATTAAGCTACACTTTGTCTTGTAGTTTGCACCCTTGCTGTGGTGGAAGAGGCAAGTGAAGGAACAGAGAATGCCTCTGTCCTGTAGACATCACATAGCTGGAGAGATCCCATGGGAAGTCCTCTGAAGTAGCTGGTGTTCTGTTGTGTTGAAGAGGGTACAGTGACTTTAAGGGGTTATGGTCAGATCTAGCAACTCTATTTTCTCCTTTAGAGTTACTAAGACTTTTTAGTTTTATGAGCTGCAGAGTTCAAGCCACTGGTATTACTCAACTGAGGGAAAAAAAGCTCTCTATACAGATACTAAAGGATACATCTCCAAAAAATCTGACACGTGGGAAGCTGCTAAATGAGGTTGGAAACAAGCTTGTGCACATTCAGTGTTCTGACCTTTACTGACTTCCAAATAGGCACTACCCAAAGCTGTAGTGTTTGTTCCAAAGTACTTCTCTCATTAGTTTGGAAGCAAGGCATGCTACTTTGAACAAATCAATTTTATATGAAATAGGTATTTCTTTAGAGGATTTTCAGGCTAAGCTGGGGAGAAGAAAAATCCACCCTCCTAACAAGGTCTCTTTATTGCTACTCAGTCTAGAAGCAAATTAGACAAGCTCATGCTGTAACCACAGCTAAATTGTACAAATGGGGTGCTTTTCAGAGAAGCAGAAATAATGAAATCTGGTTTCCTGTGGATCTGTTTTGCTTGTTCTCTAGATGTGCCCTTCCAGCCAGCCCTCCTGGCTCCCACCACTGCTCCTCATCAATCTGTACCTGTGCAGTTTGTCCAGCTTGCTCGTGCTGTTCCACCTGTCTCTGATAAGATACAGGCTCTTCTCTGTTGGTTGCCCATCTTTCCTACAGAGGTTACAAGAAGTAGCAGAGATCAATTTGTATGCAGCATCTGTTTATAGGTGTATATAAAAGACTGTTGGTGCTGGACACTGAGCTAAATTGTCAAGGGAAGAGAATGACACTCAGGCAAAGAGAGTGCTAATAAAAACCTGCTGTGGGTTTTCTGGATGTTTGGTTGTTTTGGGTTTTTTTGGTTGGTTTGTTTTTTTAAACAGTGTTTCCCTGTTAGCACAGTTGATTTATGCACGTTGGGACAATTACTGTTTAGGATGAAACATTTTTCCTCCAGTGCTGTCAGTTCTGTATCTGCATTTTTCTTGCTTAACCACACTGGGGTTGGCTTCCACATCCCTCACTGGGTTTAAATAGATCTTAGTCTTCAGAAGGCTGTTAAGTCCTGAACACCTGATCATGACTCGAAAGGCTGATGGTTACAAATTTCTGGTTGTGATTTATCCATTGTATGTATTAAAAATAATAAAAAAACCCAAACAACAAAACAAACACAAAACCCCAACAAACGCTTCAACCCAATAACTGCAAATTGAAAGTTTAATGCATCAAACTGAAACACATGAAGGAGCAGAAGTTCCAAGAAAACTTTTACTTCACATTTTGTATGTTTGTAAAGGACACATTCTTGGATTTGGACTGTTAGGTCACTGCTCTGGTTATCTGTTTATTCTGATTAAACTGGGCAGATAATAAAAACCCTGTGTCCAAGCTGATGATCATCACAGCTGTGACACAGAACTGGTGAGCAGTAAAAAGAATGAGAAGAGATTTCTTGATTATTTTTTTTTCTTTTCAAATCATAAATGATTGGTCCTCTGCGTTTTCTGCAAAGTGGAATGCTGTGCTTCAGTTTCAAATGCTATTCCCACAAATTTCCCAACAGCATCCTTCTTTTAAAATTATGGAATAACCGTTGGATGTAGTGATAGCAGAGGCCACATGTGAGATCAGAGGGGCATAGTATGATCAGTAAATGTCATCTCCTTCCCCGAAGAGGTCAGTAAATAGTCACCATAAACTCCAGTGAAAAGCCAAAGATGGAAAGAATAATCACTCAATAAAAATCTATTATTAGGGTTTTTTATCCAGAGGTTACTCTGACAAGATAAAACATCAGATATCTCTGCTGTGCCTATGATGTCCTTTCACTCGAGGGTTGTCTAAACAGATCTTTTAGCATTTTAATAACTCCTTAAAGAATAACCTTCCTCAGCTTGGTCTTCCCTGGCAAGGAGGCTGTCTACACTCTCTTGCTCTGTGGGTGGTGATGTTGGTGCTGATCCATCAGCCTCTTTCATCCCTGTATCCGTACGTGGATAATCTTTGCTTCACATGAAGTAAAGAGGACTTTGGTAATAATAGAAATAGTAAGTGTGGAAATCTGGCTACTGCACACACAACTGTTTTTCCTAACAGATGTTACTTTCATATGTTTTTCATCTGGTTTTAAGCTTGAGAATAAGGAATTTCTGGTGTGTCTATGAAGAGGGTTGAGAAGCTGGCTAACAAAGTGACAGGAGAGTGAAGACAGATTTCTGGGTTAGTTGGTGGCTGCTGTGGTCTGCAGCAAACCTGGGGGGCAGCTGTGTGGCTTTGCATTATTGGAGATATTGCAATATTGGACAGATGAATCATCATCTGGAAGTGTCAGCAGCCATTTATTTCTTAATTTGTTTGAGAGAGACAACTCTGTGACCTTTAGCAATAAACATTTTTCATCCAAAAAATGCTGTCCTGATGACAGCAAATCTTAACAGCAAGCAGCCAAAGCTTTACGGGTCATGTTTTTGAAACATTTCCTTTGTATTTGAAAAGTCAAAATGTGCTGGAAGAACTTGCTGTCTGGAATTTTTTTTTTTTTTTTTTTTTGCCTTCCTGCGGTACAATGCAAATGATCAAAATCTAAAAAATAAAAGGCACTGGAGCCTTACTTCACACAAATTTCATGCTGGATTCCATGTCAGCCAGAGTGCTGGGAAAGGCTGTCCGTGGGGTCAGTCGGTGTGGTGGGAGGATCCCTTTGCCTTGAGGTGCAGATCGTGTTGCCACCTCCAGCAGCTCTTTCCTGACACTTGAATCTTCCTCTGGGAGGGGGGGTTCATTGGTGGGTTGGGTTGGCTTAAAAGAAGCTGCTTTCCAGCATATGCTGTTGGTCACAGCAGAGTGAATATTGCAGGGCTGGTTTTACTTTCTCTATTAGTAGTCTTTGTTATCAATGCAACATTCCCATTAGAACTGCTATGATGCTTTTTTCCCCACAAACTTACTTGAGATAGAAGGAGATGATAGAAGAGCTTTCTTCCCATTTCAAAACATCTGAAGGGTTTTAATGTGCAGAAGAATATAGGTTATGTTGAAGAGGGAGGCACCAATTCAGCAGCCTGCTGTTGAAGGAGTGTTGGCTGCTTCTTACTGCATGGTACAGAGAGCTGCTGGAGCCCCACAGACTGACCCCCGTGGATTTGATTAACCTCAGCTATTGCAGACTGGTCCAAAGTCGTTCCTGTCCTTCTGGATAAGCGGAAATCAGAATGCAGTACGTGAGAATTATGACTTTAGAATTCTTGATCATAAAATCTCTTAGCTGTGGCAGTCCTGTGTGGATTTGTGCCATCACTTTTAATTTCTATAGCTATTCTTTAGGTCTGATCTCAGTTAAATTAAGCCTTTTCATATGCTGGCTTGCAGGGTACTAATTATATCCCTCTGAGCCTGTTGTTGCCAGAATGGCCCTAAGTAAACTAGAATGTTTTTTCCATGTATATCTGTTTTCTCCTGGGGACTGTCATGTGAAATTTGTTTGCTCTTTGATTATCTAATTACCATGCTGCTGAGTGGGAAGTGGGTTCTATTATACCACACAAATGGGAGGAGGAGAAGAGAAATGGAATTGCAGGTCAGTTTGTAACACTGCAGGGTTTTTCTGTCAGCTCTGATGGCATTCTGTTATTGATAGCAGGCAACGAGTAACAGACGGGCAGTTCATGGTTCTTCGGGGTCTGCTTCAGTCCCTAGACCTGCAGTCTGAATTGGCTGTGGTGAGAAATCGAGCTGTTCAGCTCTAGTGTCTGTCTTGTACAAAATGAATTGTTGGTCTCCACCTAATTCTTGTAGCTTGTGAACGAACACCTGTGCTGTGTAAGCTGTCTGTGTCTGCATGGACAAATGCAAAGCTGTCCTCTGTCTCTCACTAACAAATGAACAGCCTTAAGCTGAGGGAACGGCACATTTTGCTCTTTGCAGGATGCTTGTCAGAATGTTCTTTGCTTTTCACCTGGTACACATTTGGTAGCTCTGTACAGCAGTGGCACATCAAGTGCTACTGGTGAAAGGCAGAAAGCAAACTCTGTTTTGGAGGAGACGTCTCAGGTACAGGTTGGACTGGAACATGTACAGAATCACAAATAGTTGAGGTTGGAAAGGACATCTGGAGATCGTCTAACCCAACCCCTCAGCTCAGCTACAGCAGGTTTATCCAGATCTTGTTTATTCACTCAGGTTAAATCTCCAAGGATGGAGACTCCATAATGTCTCTGGGGACCCTGTTCTGCTGTTCAATCACTCTTTC